TTTGGTTGCCTCCATTTATTCTTTCTTCAATGTAATAAAAAATCTCGTACTCTCTCCATTTCGTTTTTCTTTTTTGAAGGTACTTTCTATTTCTTTTAAAATAAGGGGCCTTTTTTTCCTTTGTAAGGTAAACTAAAAAAATAATTATTTAACCATTAAATTGTGTTAAATGTCTTTTATATCACTCAAATTTATTTAATTAAGCACTTTTTCATTTTAACTTGCTTGGTAAATAAAAATAAACCTTTTAATAAACTAAGTAGTGCTAAAATTGCAATAAAAAGTATAAGTAATAAAAATTAGTTTATTGATTATTCTGTAATTACTTAATGGTTTCAGCAATTCTAATTCAGCATTAAATATTTAGAATTAAACACTAATTTTTATCAAACATACCTCAAGTTGAAAAACTAATAACTAATTAGCTTAAAATTCAAAAAACGATCTATATTTAGAAAGATTTTCTCAAACTTAAAATGACTTATATTTTGACTCAAAAACAAGTATTTGACTTTCACTCAAAGACTCTTCATCTCTTTAAAATGACTTATATTTTTTGGGAATTCAATAATTCCAAACAATTTGACTCACTTGCTAAAAAGAAAAGTTTTTCTGTTTCTGCGTATTAGAAATTAGAACGATATTGTGGTAAAAAGAAGGAAAAATGTAGTTAAAGGACAATAGAATTTGTCAAATTAATATAAAAGATATGAACTCAAAATATTTTTCATATAGGGCAGTAACTTATTTTTCAAAAATCATAAAACAAAAAATACTTTGAATTTACGATATCACCCTTATAATTTCTTACCAAAAAAAAAATTACAATGAAACAATAGCCAAATCCATCTTAGAGATTATGTTTTTCAACAAAATTGAGACCCTATTTGTACCTTTTTTTTCTGAAATTGAGAACTCAGTCTGTTCTCTAACACTATGCAACTGCGAACTTATTGAGTTTTTTTTTATTACAACTCAAACCCCGAAGGGGCAAAGGTAAATTTTATATTTTTATGGTCTATTTATAAATTGAAAATCAATAATAGGTTTCTATTCCAGTCAGTTTTTCGGTGGAACGAAGTCATTTGAAACAAGTTCGATGGTTTGCAGGTAGATTAAAAAACTTGGACAGGCTTGTCTCTGGTAACTTACAACAAGAAATTCACACCATATCAGTACATAGAAGATGCACACTTTCAAGCATAAATAAGCAGCTAGCCAAGGAGCCAAAACGTCTTTTTTCCCCAACTGAATTGTTCCTTAATCAAAACATCACAAGTTCATAACTCCTTCATGAATCACATGATAATGGAAATTTTGAAAAGAAACCAGCTACTTAAAAAGAGTTTCTAATTAGATTGTTCGGTATGCCATTATTCCAAAAAGCATTGAAGTTCAATCCAGCAGAGACATTATATCAAGCATGTACCATTCTCAACCTAATAGTTTAAAGACATCCCGTAAGATTCCATGGTCATATAGCATTTTAGTCCGGTTAATCCATTCGCAATTATTCAGGGAATAAATTACCATAATCTTTTAGATTGTTTTGGACAAGAAGCTCATTCATGTTAATAAAAATAACCTTGTTCTATATAATAATGGATGAAAGTTCCCATGCATACAGGGTAGTTCTTTATACCACAAGCTTGTAGCATATTTGAAGACAGATGCAAAGGAGACTAATTTTTATTTTGTGTTTTATGATTTTGAAATGCTAATAAAAAATAAGGATAATTATGTTATTATAAAATTATATTAATTTGTTAGATTTTGACAAATAAATCACTACTCTTTATAAAAAATATTTTTAAGTCATATCCTTTTTATTAATTTGATAAGTTTTACTGTCTTTTAACTAAATTTTCCCTAAAAAGAATGTCTCTTTCTGTTTTGGGTACGTAGGAATCAAGGGGTATGTAAGAATAAAGGAGAATATTGCTTATCAATTATGATATCACATGATCCAAAATCCGTTTTCTAAAAATTTGTTGTACTTTTATCTTATTTTATTGCTCACTTAGAATTGAACTTTCAAGTAGATGGAAAAAGAAAAATCATCTGTCCCAAATTAATACAATAAACGTAATTTTTATTTTGAAACATACTTATTAGTGTTTATACTTCCGGTCTATGTTACCATAAGTACAATGGTTTGATTTTGAGGGTCTCTAAACCCTCCTTCACTGTACAACAAAAATGATTTCTTGTCTTGAATCGCAGTTGTGGAAGCAAAGGGGGAAATCTAGACATCAAGATCTGTTGTTATTTAATCATTAATATGTCAAAAAGACCAAGTAGATTAGAACCCAGTTCCCAGAAACGCATTAGAATTTATTTTTGGTTCCAATTTTAGTACAATTTGGTTACTGTTCACTTCCAAAATGAAAAAGAAAAGATAAAAGTGGGTCAATGAGGTAATAAATATATAATATTATTACTCAATTTTAAAAGCAGATCTGAAACCACACTTCCCACTTAGCATTGTTTTGTCTAATTGTGTAAAAAGAGAGCCCCACAAATATACTGCATAAGATAGCAAGAAAAGGTCCAAAAGAAAGAAAGAAAGAAAGAGAGAGAGAAAGACTAGACACACTTGTGAGAAAGAAAGAGAAAGGGTTTTTTTTTTTTTTTTGGTTTTCTTTTTTTTTTACTTTCCCCAAGGCTGCAGGTTTGCTGCACTGCTTACCACCAAAAGTTGTTAGTTTTTTCTTTTTTATATTAGTGTTTTTAAAGACTTCTGTGTGTGTCACTGTGTGACTGTGTGTGTAAATGTGTCTTGCAGAACCCAAAGCATAATAAGCATAAATTGTTTTTCTTTTCTTTCTTTGTTTTTTTTTTTTGCTTTTCTTTCTCTCACCACCTCCTTCTTCCACCAACCAATTTCTCCTTCTTCCTCAATCCCATCACTTCCACTCCCAACAAGTTTCCTTTCCATTGCCCCCCAACCCCAAGTCCCAATTCAATTTCAACCTGGTTTTTTTCAAATAAGTGAGATTGAAATTTTGAAACTCCCCTTTGACTATCTATGAATATACTTTTACTTTCTCTAGGAAAACAGGAGAATCAAGAATGCAAACAGTGAAAGCTTCTTTCTCATTTTTAATTTTGTCATCAATTATTTTGTTTTAGCTCAATGTATGATGACTAATACTACAATACAAGTCAGTGAGAAGATTACAGTTACCTTTTTCTATAATGATACAGTCAGTGATGAAAATTACAGTTATTTTTATAATATTTGTCGCGTTAATCGCTTATTATTCATATAAATACGATCTTGATTTAGGCGTTGTAAATATTTTAGTCTCATAGTCAGTGCTACACTAGTGATTTTTTTTTTTTGGCTAATTATCATTGTTTCTGTCAATAATATAACGATTAATAATCTGAATACTAATAAAATTTATGATTACTTTGTACATTATAATCGATGTGTTACTTAAATACTAATTGAAAATGAAGCTTACAACCAAATATGCATTGTCAAAATTAGTCAATAGTCATTCTACAATGTAACTATTTATTATTTTCTCCACCATTTAATGTAAAGACTGATAATAAAAACATATAACGATTAATAATCTGAATACTAATAAAATTTATGATTACTTTGTACATTATAATCGATGTGTTACTTAAATACTAATTGAAAATGAAGCTTACAACCAAATATGCATTGTCAAAATTAGTCAATAGTCATTCTACAATGTAACTATTTATTATTTTCTCCACCATTTAATGTAAAGACTGATAATAAAAACAATGGTTAAATTATAGTTTTTTGCTTTCTTCATAATTTTTGTTGCGTTATTCAGTTATTGGTATTAAATCTAACGATAACACAATTCATTGTCAAATATAGTCAATACGTGAATGATAGGCTAGTCAAATTAAATACTCCCTCCATTTCAAAATGTAGGTCGTTTTACAAATTCTAGGTAAATTAATGACTATTTTTACAAATTTACCCTCAATAAATGATGCTAATCTATTTTTATTTAGTCTTGTTTATAGTTTCAATGTAATTAATGAAGGGTAAAAAAGATATTTAACACATAAATTAATTGTTGGATGATTGTCTCCTTAGTTTACGTGCCAAGTCTAAAAAGACTAATATTTTGAAATGGGGAAGTAATTTTCTATTTATTGGTGTTTGCATCATTAATAAAACTGCTAAGGACGAAATTAGAAATACGATTAGTGTTACTTATGTATACGTTACTCGATTATTGATAGTAAATCTAACAATAATGCATATAGGTCGTCAAAATTTAGTCAGTAAGTGGATGTTAGACTAGTCAAAAATACACAATTTGGTTATTTAGTGTGGTTTGTATTATCAATATAATGACTAATGACAAAAACTAGAAAAAATGATTACGGTTATTTCTCTATAATGATTGAGACGTTACTAGAAACTCGAATTACTGATGATCTAACTATAATAATATATACGCGTCGCCAAAATTTAGTCAGCAAGTGAATAATAAACTGACGAGTCAATCATTTAATTTTGAATTTTTTTAATTATCCGTTAGCCTCTTCACATTACTTTATTAGAAGTAAACCAATTATATTAATATTTTATTTTATTTTTTGTGTAATATGCTAGGATTTTAGACATTACCACCTACATGTTTTAAGATTCTTTTTCATTTATAACAATATACAAAAAAGAAAAAAGAATGCTATAAGCGAATAAGAATTTATTGTTTGTAAAAAACTACTAGAGAACTTTTCATTCTAAATTCTAAACACCCTTTTTCATACAACTTAGCATAGAATAGCATATAATGATTACCCAAATATAACACCCCCATAAGTCTCCAACCCATCATTACCTTTTTTAACATGATTACCTTCTTCTCTCCCTTATTATTTTCCCCAAAATAAGCACACCTCTCTCCTTATTTGCCCTCACTCATGCGTTTTCTTTTTTTTTCTTTTTTTTTTTTATTTATTTAAAGCCAGTCTTTTCACTCTCTATTTAAAAACCCTACAGCTCATCTCTCATCTTCCCCCCTCTCCTTTCTCTCTCATACTTTCTTTCTCTCTCTAAAACTCAGGAACAAAATAAAAAACAATAATACTACAAGATAGTACTTCAAGAGAGGGGAAATAGAAAAAGAAATCCAAAAGGGCTGCAGTAGTTTTAGTAGTAGTAGAAGTAGTAATAGTTGTAGAGCACTTCCCACACTTTACTCTCTCTTATCAGTGTCTTTGTTTTTCTCTCTCTAACAGTTACACATAGTCACACACTGAAGTGAAGAAGGAGGGAAGGAAGTGGAAAAGGGGTTTTTTTTTTGCAAATTTTTTGTGGGTTCTTTTTAGTAGTAGGAGTAGTAGTTATGGATACTTATGAAGCAACAAAAATTGTTCTTTCAAGGATCCAGAGTTTGGATCCAGAGAATGCTTCGAGAATCACTGGTTACATACTGATACAGGACCAAGGAGAGAAGGAGATGATAAGGTTAGCTTTTAGCCCGGAATCCCTTTTAATGTCCTATGTCAACCAAGCAAAAGCTTGTTTGGGACTTCCGTCGAACGGTTGCTCAACACCGTCTACTCCTTCTTCGCCTTCCCCTTTCACGAATAACAACAGCAGCTGTAATAATCCCATGTCAAATCCTGGTTCTAGGCCGAACCCATTTTCCCAAACGTCCCCTCGAATCATTATACCGAACAATAACAGGTTCCATTTGAACAACCCATCTTCCCCTTCCTCGCCATGGTCTTCTAGAACCTCTAGATCAGCTTCTTATGCTGCTGTGGTCAATGGCTCTACTAATACCGCTTCTGGGTCTTCAAGTTCCTCGCTTTCTTTGCCCTTTTTTAACAATAACAGCAGTGACTTGAGTGACGAGTTGGGGAACATTCAAGTTCAAGATCAGTTGTCGTTTCTCGACGACTCGTTGGATCCAATTGTGAGCCCAAGTGGGAGGAGTGATTCTGTGCTTTTTCCGTACGGGAATTGTGACGACAACCCGAACCAGCACCACCATCGGAGGAGTTGCTCCGTCAATGATGTTTTCCTTGGTGGTAGTGACGACGGAGGTGGTGGCGGGAACGGTGGCTTTGGTTGGAGGCCATGCTTGTACTTCGCCAGAGGCTTCTGTAAGAATGGAACTACTTGCAAATTCTTGCATAGTGGGGGTGGAGGAGCGGGTTTTGGTGCTGGAGATTCTTCGCCTGATGTCCCTGGGCCTATGGTGGGGTCTCCGAGCAAAATCGATGGCTTTGACGAGTTAATTAGACTCAAGGCCATTCAGCAGCAGAGGTTTGCTGCTGCCCAGCAGCTAATGGCTTCCGGGGCTCCTCCTCCTTTCGCTTTCAACAAGTGCATGAACTTCTTGAATGACAGTCCCAGGTAAATTTTGACTAAAAGGGGCAAAATTTCTTTTCACCTGTTGTAGATGTGTCTTGAAGTAAAGCTCCTTCCTTTAACTTGTTTGTGCTTGTCACCTGGTGATTTCATCTGGGATTGTATGTGTCTTTAAACTAGAATTGAGTGTGGGCTCTAGTGATTTTCCTGGTCAAAGGAAATTGTTGTTGATGCTCTAGTGTTCTATTTGAAGTTTGCTTGGGTGTTTAAATTTGCTGTCTTTCTTTGAATGCCTTTCTTTGATTAGGGTATAATCAAGTCCTGGGTTCTGATTTTTGGAACTTCTTTTAGATCTGCAGCTGCTTCATTGATGATGAGTGATGAATTCCATAAATTTGGCCGGTGTCGTCCTGAAAGGAGTGAGTTCTCTGCAATGGGGTTGGGAGGGAGTGCTAGTTCAGCTTCAAGACAAATTTATTTGACATTTCCTGCAGATAGCACTTTCAAGGAAGAAGATGTTTCCAATTACTTCAGGTAATACACTGAGTTGGGTTTTTATTTTTTTGATTATGATGTTTTTAAATGAAAAAATTACCTAGAAGATCATTTCCATTATTTGTTTTTCCAGCATGTATGGACCAGTTCAAGATGTTAGAATTCCTTACCAGCAAAAGCGCATGTTTGGATTCGTAACATTCGTCTACCCAGAGACTGTGAAGCTCATCTTGGCCAAAGGAAACCCACATTTTGTTTGTGATTCCCGAGTCCTAGTCAAACCTTACAAGGAGAAGGGCAAAGTTCCAGAGAAGTATGAATTCTCATTGGTGTTATTTTATTCTCTCTGTTCTGAGTGTGTGACATCTATCATGTCCTAAATTTAATATGGCGTGGTTTGTGAAATTTTTTTGCAGGAAGCATGGACAGCAACAGCCTCATCTGGATAGAGAGTTTTCTGGGTGTTTGAGTCCTTCAGGACTTGATTCTAGGGAGCCTTTTGACCTCCCATTTGGTGAGTTTGGATACATGTTTTCCTGTAGGTTTTCAGTGTTAAGTTTGTTTCTTGATCCATGGATTATACTTTTGTTGAAGGAGCGAGAATGTTTTACAACACCCAAGAGATGATGCTGAGAAGAAAGCTGGAGCAGGAGGCAGAATTACAGCAAGCCATTGAACTCCAGGGTCGAAGGCTCATGAGTTTACAACTGATGGATATGAAGAATCATCACCATGGCCATCAATTCCAGCCTGGATCTTTTCCTGGTGTGACAGTTTCTCCTACGACTCTGCCTCAGTCGCAGGCTAATGAAGACCTCCATCTACCTTCTGAGCGAGCCAATTTAGAAGTCTCTGAAGGTCAGTATTGTTCGATAATGTTGTTCATCTTGTTTGTCAAGGCTGTGTATTAGAAATTGATGAATGATTACCTTGTTTGATTGCAGATCTTAATATTAACCAAGAAGCTGCTAATTCTCCACCAGTTTTGAGTGATGAACAATTTCCCGAGGAACTAACTAAGGCTGTTGGCTTTGGGAATGACTCTGGCAACAAAGAGGAGAGCTCAAAAGTTGAGCACACTGATGCTCGTGAAAGGTATTAACTTAATCTCTATGAAATTTTATGTTCATCAACTCTTCTTGTCATTGTTTTATGTTGTTGCTAAGCCAATAGTTTTTCTTCATCTGGATTCGTGATCAACTTGAGTTGATTGCTGACATTTTACTTGAAATGATTTGTATTGGTTTTGACAGCAGCTTGGAGAACGCCCTTCCAGATAACCTCTTTGCTTCTCCTACTAAATCAGCTGCTGACCTACAGTCTGCATTTGCTCCTACTTCTGCAGGTGGTGATGACGTTTCCTCAATGAAAACCTCATCATCATCATCAGCTATTAACTACATCCCAATGCTGCCCCCAACTTCTACACTAAGCATGGCTTCTCTAAAATCTTGTTACTTTCAAATGCCAAGGTACGCCATGTCTGCCATTTCCGACTTCTTCCTGTTTATTGAAATATTTCTTGTGATTTAGGTGAGCAAATTTTCTGAAGGCTAAATTTGTTGTTAACAGGTTTTCTTCAGGGCAAGAAGCCACTGAAATTTAGGAGATAGAAGTGTGAAAATGGCTAGCAAGGAGATTAGCTTAGCTTTTGGTAAGAACAAATGTGTCTTACTTCTATTAACTTTGCCATTTTCTTCAATAATGCAAACTATTTAACTGAGATTTCATTCACTTATTGGGTATGGTTTTTGAATGTTCCATGATGCAGGAAAGTTGAGTAGCTAGCAAATATAGAGAAGTAAAAGAATCACCTAGCTGTATAGCAAAAAACCATACCACCAACAGGCAGAAGAAAAAAAAGATCTGTAAGGAAGATCTCCCCAAGATTATTGTCATCATCAATACCATACTACTTACAATACATAATGCATCATACATAAAGGACAGATGAACTGATTTATGGGAGTGGGGTCTTGCTTTGTTTATTTTGTGTACCCTCTCTTCTGTAGAAGTAGTAAGAGTAGTAATAGTAGTAGTAGTAGCAGTGTGCTGGACCACACCAGAGGAAAAAAAAAAAGAAAGAAAAACAATGGCATCATAACAAAGGCAGGAGAAGTAACTTTTATCATACAATGTTTATTTACTACTACTGTCCATCCATCTTCCATCACATCTTCCTTTCTACTTTTTCTTACTTTCCTACACTATGTTTAGCAAAAACCCAAAAGGTAAAAACCAAGAAAAAGGTTTAATTAATTAATTTTCTGAGCACAACCCATGAATGAATGAGAAAGATTCAAAGATGTACTGATTCATACTGAAGGGTTGCAGGAAGCATCTCATTTAAATTTTTTCTCTGACCAACTCTGTGTGGCCCTGATTGATGAAGAAGATTTTAAAGAAGTACTAATAATGCATGATGCAGTAGCATATAGCAGAAGCAGAGAAAAGGAAGCATCCCAAATGTGTCCAAAATGCACTAAAACAGTAGTACACCTACTTGACTGATTTTATTAGATTATTCATAACCCAAAAGGGAAAACAAGTGATTTAATTAATAAAAGCTTGATTTCTAAGCTCTTTTTCTTGTTTGTCCCTGTCACTGTCATGGTTTTCAATTAAATGGTGCATTAGATTACAATGTGATTTGTGCACACGAACGAAAATTCTGAACCCACACACACATGACACACCTCAACAGGATTTTGGTAAAAAAGAAGGAAACCAAAGGAAAATGTAAGAAGTGAAAAAGGATGATGAAAGAAAAAGGGTGGTCTTTTTATGAGTGACTAAAGGCAACTTTAGGGGACTCTTTTGTCTCATTTTGTGGTTTCTTTTAGGTGGACATGAAAGGAAGGGGGGTGTTGGGTCCACAAGGTCACATGGGTGCTGACAGCATTTTGAATGGTATCAGGGTACAACACTCCTTTCACTTTCAACCTCTAGTCTGATTCAGATATAAAATTAGTGTTTGGCCTTTTGTTTTATGGGTATTGGTGCCCCCCTCCCCTTCTTTTGGTATATTATTTTTGGGTTTCTTAATTTCAAGAGGGCACATGTGCCCCAAATTTTATCTTTTACCATCCTCTAGTTCTTAGTTCTTTCTTACACCAAATCTCTTTCTTTTTCTTCTTTTTTTTTTCCAGCCTTGTCCCTTCAACACAGTAAGAGGATAAAATAGTTTCTTTCATTTCAAATGAACATCATATGTTTCAAAAAGAAAATGAATAAAAAATTTAGTAATTGTGATATACTATCAAAAGAACAATATTTCTATATGGGACAACTTTTCGAGATCATATTTCCAATATCTAGTTAGTAGCCACGGCCTAACATTTATAGTTTTGCCCTGTTTATTTGAAAAAAAACTAAAAAGTAAAAACCAAACTCCCATGATTTTTTTTTTTCAAATAAAGAAATCAAGGTTTGGGTCATCTAGATAATTTGACTGATACGTTTATCCGGTCCCGCAGGCGAAAAAAAAAAAAGTTTTGTGATAGTCGTTAGGTAGAACCTCGTCAGGCCTTATACAAGTTCAAATGGGTAACCCATTGAGGATGATAATGATTAATGAGTCCGATTGGGTCTTTGGCAAATACAAGAGCCCATTTCCTTTTTCCTTATTATTTTTTATTTTGATCTGTGTAATTAACTAATCACGGGATCACCTTGGAATGTATTCCGTGATCCTTAATATAAGACATTTTAATTTATTCTAAATTTTACATAGTGAGCATTTTAATTGACAAAATAAAAATCTTAAATGTATTTCATAACAATCAAACGAACACAACGAATATGAAAATATATTTTTTAAATTTTTTGTCAATTGAAATGGTTATTAGGTGAAAACTAAAACAAATCAAAATAACTTATATCAAAGACCCAAAGGAGTATTAAACAATTATGCGGCGCTTATATATGGATAGTTTTGGTTTTGGTAGATTTGGGTTATAATTTGAAGATTTTAATTGAATGGTACTACTAAATCTATAATAACCGTTGGATATTAAAAATAAGATCATGAGCCTACAATTTATAAGTGGGTAACCGGTAACATTTTTGTAGCAAGTATTTAACGAATTGCTCAATGTCATGGCCTACTGTTTTTGCCTTTACTTCAATGCTTAAGTGCATTTACCATGTCTAAGAATTTTACGAGCCCGATTTTTTAGTGGATCTTGGTTGGTTTCTTGATGGTAAAACCATTCTTCATTAGGTTCTTAATGTTCTGGCAAAAATTGTCCAGGGAGATTTTGTTAGTTTTTATCTGGTCCAGCCAGACATTTTCCCAACTATATTTGAGATTTCGTTGATATAACATCAATTACATTACCGTAATAAAAAACATCAATTACATTCTTTGTAATGGTCATGATACTTAGCAATATACTGATGGAGAGTCGACTAAGTTTAAGAAAAATCTATTGAGCAAGGAATATAAACTTCGGTATATTTTATTGCTTGTAAACTCGTGCCCACAATGCATTATAGCACAATCGATAAAAATAGGGCTACGTTGCTATACTCAAGCGTGACAAACAAAGCATTCAAGGTCAAAATATTAATCAGTGGTAAAATTAAAAGATGTGCGAAAAAAAAGGCAAAAGTTAAACTCGCCCAACTTGGGGTTTCCTTCTCTAATTTTGACATTTTATGTATTCAGGCTGGTTATCATGTATCGATGAGGAACATCGGATGTCGTTTCTGTTATGAATCAAAGCCTTATGAACACTTTGAGAGAACTAGTGTCTAACTAACGTCACACAAGGTGGAACTGGAAGTAACTTCTCTCTCGGCCGCCCTCAATCTCTCTCCAACCCTAAAACCCTAAAACAAAAAAAAAAAAAATCTATCTTTTCCCAATCTTTCTACCATGGAAGGATAGGGGAGATAATTCTGTCCCGATCCTTACACTTTTTATTGTTGTTTAATTTATTCAATATGTGAGATTATAATCTCCTCTACTAGTTAGGTATGGTGGCGACTTCCTTATGGATGTTCATTTGTATGGCGGCGACTTCCTTGATGATCTTCGTTGGTATGACGATATTTTTGTCGGTGATGTTTGCAGGTACGGCGGCGGGTTCGTTGGAGTTCGCTCGTATGAGTTTAAAAGATTCAGTCATCATATATTAAGTTGTTAGATCTATGATTTGGAAGTTTCAACTGATTTTTAGTATTGTATCTTTGTTTCGGCACGAGATACTGAAAGTATATTGGGGGTAGTAACCAAAGAGACAACAAAAAGACACCAAAGAATAAAAATGAAAAATGATGAACTTTATAGATAGATTCTTGAATCTAACAATAATGGGGAAATCACAAAGATTTGGATGTGTTCTAAGCGTGTAATCACTGTCCTTAGGACAATATTTGCCCCCACTACTTTGTAAAACCGGGTTTGATTGGCAATTTGTCTCTAGGATACGAAGAAGCATAAGAACATGCAATTTTGTAATTTTTGAATTTTTTTTTTCAAAATTTAGGAATGCAAAAAGAGTTTTCCAAAATCTACAATAGTACACCTATTTATAGGCAAACACTAGGAAATAAAAGAATATGAATCAAGGCTTATACCTCTTGAATTCCAAGTGACCAACGTAACCTTTTATGAATACTTATCATGTTTCATATTCTTTCAATTCCTTGACACCCTTTAGAAGGTTCCAGAAATATTAACAAACTTTGGGTTGCAACTTTTGGTTTTGGTTTTATTTCACAAACTAAAAACCCAACAATCCCCCACTTAGTTTGTCATATATAACTGTCGCAAATACTGAGAATCGTGCATAAGGGTGGTAACTTTCGTTTTGAACCACACCATAGTATATTGGGGGTAGTAACCAAAGAGACAACAAAAAGACACCAAAGAATAAAAATGAAGAATGATGAACTTTATAGATAGATTCTTGAATCTAACAATAATGGAGAAATCACAAAGATTTGGATGTGTTCTAAGCGTGTATCCACTGTCCTTAAGACAATATTTGCCCCCACTACTTTACAAAACCGGGTTTGATTGGCAATTTGTCTCTAGGATATGAAGAAGCACAAAAACATGCTATTTTGCAATTATTAAATGTTCTTTTCAGAATTTAGGAATGCAAAAAGAGTTTCCCAAAATCTACAATAGTACACCTATTTATAGGCAAACACTAGGAAATGAAAGAATATGAATCAAGGCTTATACCCCTTGAATTCCAAGTCACCAACGTAACCTTTCATGAACACTTATCATGTTTCATATTCTTTCAATTCCTTGACACCCTTTAGAAGGTTCTAGAAATATTTAACCAACTTTGGGTTGCAACTTTTGGTTTTGGTTTTATTTCAAAAACTAAAAACCCGACAGATACAACCACTGCTTGATAGGGTAGATCTATATAGATTTATCTATATGAAACACAACAAAAATCATAACCAATTGTAAGTTGTGTTTTTCTGACTGTATCTTTTCTTATCAATCGCTGCTGGACGATTTCCAGTAAATTAATAAATTTTATTTCTCAAAAAAAAAAGTGTCTAACTAATGTTTATTCTCTACAACACTGAGTTGTGGCATGAACCGATAAAACAAGTTGATCAACTCTAAGAATTAGTTAAACAATTGACCTTTGCAATTCATGAATTCACATATGCATTAGATAACTAATATTGCTCTTCATTAGTCTTTCCCATCACATAATTCTTTGTAAAATTCTCAAGAGCTGTTATATGTTCGCATTAGTATTTTTTTTTTTGATTTAGGTAACATTTTTATTCATTGCGACAAAGTAATATCTTTGTGATGTTTAAATTTCTATATTTGAGGTTGCACATTATTTTGATTTATCTACTAGTTGCATCATCAATTATAAAATAGTACACTTTCAATTGTTCTTACATATTATTCTATATGATTTAGTGTTTCATTGATGCTTTTCAAGAATTAATTCTTTTTTTTTCTTATTTTTTTTGTTTTTTTCCTCAACACATCTATGATTATGCATATTCTTATTAATCACTTATGGTTGCCCAACCAATTTCTCTAAAGCTAGAATATCAAATTGAATGGTGGTTGATAATTGGTATAACCATTTCTCAAAAAAAAAAAAAAAATCTTTTAAAAGTTAAAGTTCAAACTCACAAATATATCTTTTCATGATAGCTAGCAAATAGACATCTTCGAATGACTAGTAAGTCAAATATATTTTTGATCAAGTGACGGTTACTCATCAGCTAGTTGGTGGATTTTTCATAATATTTTCTTTTATTCAAAATTTCTTCCATAGTGAACTCTTTTTTACTAATTTCTAATTATCTCATGAATACAAACAAAATACAACTGGTTATTTTGTGTGACAATTTCTTTTACATTTATAGAATTTAATCTCATCATGAAGCAATAAGACCTTAAACTATCATTTTGCTATATTTTCTATGAATAAACCAATTCATAATTTAATTTTGAGATGACCATAGTAGTATTTAGCGGGGATATCCAATTTATTTGAGAAAATAAATGGAATACAAGTAATAGTACATCAGGCTTACAATTATTAGCAAATAATTTATTAAAAGATACTTAGACTTAACATAACCTTAGATAATGTGACTTTTTATTGTTTTTGAAAGAAATAGAACTCAAAATTTTGCTGGCTTGTATAACCCATCCTTTGTAAAGGGAGTTCATTTAAAGCTAGTCTAATCATAAAATCAGTT